TAACTCCTGATCTGTCTCACAATGCCCTTTATTTCTGTGCCACCCATGCCTGGAACAGTGTCTGGCACAAACTGCTCACCAGATAGTCACTGAAGAAATGAAGAAAATGAAAGAATGAACTGAATTAGGAAGACAAAGGGTAAAGATGAAGTGAGAACTGTTTTTTTTTAATTTGGAGAACTCTCAGTGAGATAATTACAAACATTTCACTTAAAGGGAGTGACGCCATTTCCCAAGAGTAAGAGCACATTTTGACATATTCTGTGGCTTTTAGAAAGCAACATTAGCATAACTACTGTATCACATACCCCTCCGGTGGACATTACTTGCGGCATGGTTGTGGTAAGCCATGGACACCATTTTTACCACCATGGCCACCACAGACCTGGGAGTTCCTATGCGCCATACTGATTGAGAAGGAGGAACCACCTTTGCCCTGACAGGACTGCACCAACTGAGGCCCTGGTTGCCCAGTGGCCACCCTGAGAGTCCAGGTAACACTACGTGGAAGTAGCACGGGACAACTCTAACCAATGGAAGACAGAAGAAAGGAAAAGCCAAGAGATAAATCACTTGTCCCTCCTGCCCCTTCCCCACCATGCTTGTTCTGAGATGTAGAATGTAATACAGCCTCTCTGGTTATGTCTCTCATAAATGCACCCATTTGTCTTTGCTGTCCTTGTTCCCTTTCCCCCCTACTCTTGCATCCCTGAGATTGCAGCATCTAATGAAGTTTAGCATGTAAGTGCTTGTCTCAGGTTCTGTCTATAGAAAACCTGGCCTAAACAAGCAATTTTTAGAAATTTTCAAATGTTAAATATATTATGCATTATTGGAGACACAAACTAAGTTAAATAGAGCATATTTGTATGAAAACATTCAATTATTTGCATTGGATTATGGTTGTATACCAGGAAGAGTAGTTGTAGAGAGCAGTCACTTAAGGAGAATGGAGCGTCCAGAAGAAATGGAGAAATGAATAGTCAAGCAACAAAGAACTACTAATTCTCTTTGCGGAGTATCAAGAGGAGATAATCAGTAACACATGGCTACAGTGAGTATAAATGTATTCTCCAAATAGTAAAGTTTCCATGAAAGGAACATATACTAAGGATGTATATTAAGCATATTTTCTTCCATTGTGTCTGTTTATCATTTAATGTGCTTCCTCTGTTGTGAAATATTAAAGTGTTAGATTCCAGGAAAACAAATAAATCTACTGAGTGATCTACTTCAGTGAAGACAAATGGAATTGTCTTCAGCTTACACATTAAATTGAAATGATTTTAAGACATGGCAGATTAGTAGCCAAAATTTAAACAACTAAAGTTGGGAGAAAACCCGGAAGAAATGACAAAAGTACAGCTGCTTAGCAAGGTCCTTTGGAAAGTTCAAACGGAAAAAAGAATTAAAATTTGGCCAGAAGAGGGAGAGTACTCCCTCACCACGGAAAGTTGGCATATACTAGACCATGATCTCAATCTGTATTGAAAACAGTTTTAGACAGTGAACCAAGTCCCAGCTGTAAAGGTATTAAGGGCATAGTCAGTCACCCACCTTTAAATATCTGCTACTACAGAACCCTCTGTCGCTAGGCTGATGAAGTACAAAAGGTCTTCTCTTGGAAAGAATTGCAACCAAAGAGACTGGGGAATAGTTACTGCTCATTCACGAAAGTATGAAAACTATGATTCGAGAAAGACTCTGTGAGTGTATTTTAGTTTCTGAATGTTTATCCCTACAGCATTCATGGAAACTCTTTTCCAAGTGTCATCACATGGATTCTTTCATTAAGATTTTGTTTTCCTTTTACAGATTTATAAATCCAAGCCCAACTTATACTTCCTGGAGGAGCAATTAAAGTTTAAATGCATTGCTTCTTAATCATTTTGTTTGTTCTTAGTATTTCTTTAGGTCTGAATATCTGCAGGGGATCAGGATTTTTCCCAGACAAATGTGTACACTCATATACACAATATTTTGTGTGAAATGTCTGTGTTTGGTAGTCATCTTATAAATCCAAATACTTCCTGGAGTCCATGAACCTTAGGTCAAAATCAGTTATTTTAAGTAACTTTAAAAGTCACTTTAAAATGGATGGATATCAGTAAGGGAAAGCCCTAGAAAAATGAACATTTTGGTTTGTAAATAAAAGTAATACCAAAACCTAAAATTTCTAGACAGAAACAATGCTTCTTCTATAAAAGCTAATTTTAGGTCTTGAGGAAAATCTACACAAGCATCTCCTCAGTGATTTTTTTTTATGTTACGTTAATCACCATAGATTACACCATTAGTTTTTGATGTAGTGTTCTATGATTGTTTGCATATAACACCCAGTGCTCCATTCAGTACGTGCCCTCTTTAATACCCATCACCAGGCTAACCCATCCCCCCCGACTCCCCTCTAGAACCCTCAGTTTGTTTTTCAGAGTCCATAGTCTCTCATGGTTCGTCTCCAACTCCGATTTCCCCCCTTCATTCTTCCCCTCCTGCTATCTTCTTCATCAGTGATTTTTTTAATGAACTTCATAAGGTAGCTCATTTTGAGAATGATCCATATACACTGATCCCAAAGACATTTGTTTTTTCACTTTAACTATCTTACAGAATATTTAATCCTTAAAACTGGATTATTATTTGATTCTTTTTTCTTGGAACATGTATTACAAGGAGAACTAAGTTATATCTTGTTTTAACTAACTTCCACATGATTCTTTCTAGTTTCCTTTCTATCTCTAATAAAAACTGGCTCTAAACCAATGGCTGACACAAATTAGTTAAAAATAGAAATACATGGCAAATGTTTGGAAATTGACTTCTTATATCCATGGGCTTTTGAATTATAATTGTGAATTTAGAATCTTGTTTATGATTAAAATATTAAGATTGTGAATAATTTGGGGGAAAAATCATGTGATTGCCATTTTTTTTTTTTGTGAAGAAAATTCTAGAGTGAATGTTTTACACAAGCAGCCAATAAGTTTCAGATGGTTTATAAGTAGCAGGAGATCCAAAGCTGAAATGGAATTTTCTGTGACAACCTACAAATAACAGTTAACATATGCCTGTGTTACAGGCAAAAGCAGGAGTCACATAAAGTCAAGCAGGGAGTATGAAGAGCTGTAAGTTAATGAATAAAAAACCTTTTTGTCCAAAATTTTTAGCACCAATTTTTACTCCGTACTTAAAAAGCAAAGCTAGCTCAAAAAAAAAAAAAAAAAGGAGCAAAACCATTTCAACTACTTTTAAAGAAACTGTATTTATTAATATTGGGAAAAAAAAAAAAACAAGAAGTGACTTTCCGGGTCACAGCTTACACCCATTAGAAATTTGATGTATTGGGTGCCTGGGTGGCTCAGTTGGTTAAGCGACTGCTTTCGGCTCAGGTCATGATCCTGGAGTCCCGGGATCGAGTCCCGCATCGGGCTCCCTGCTCGGCAGGGAGTCTGCTTCTCCCTCTGACCCTCCCCCCTCTCATGTGCTCTCTCTCATTCTCTCTCTCTCAAATAAATAAATAAATAAAAATTTGATGTATTAAAAAATGCAAATAAAAATTAATGCTAGTACAATTGAAGAAAAAACACAGATTCTTCAGTGATGTTAGAACATTTAATCACTGACTCGCACTTGCAGTTGGAGTTTCATCTGGAAGTGTTTCTAGTTATATTATCTGCTATTCTTTGTCATGTGTCTTGACGCTGTTGATAAACTAAGTCACTCACTTACAAGGTTTTAAATTTTTTTTTGTTCTAACCTATTCTATTTCTTACAGTTGTGGTTTCACCAATTGTTATCAGAGCCTTGAACTTACTTTGATTTCAGCATCAGTGCTGTGGTAGGAACCAGGTGGGTGTATCAGGTCATCCTGCTAGCCCTGTGGTCTGCCTACACACCTCTGAGCAGCGGCCCTCTTACCTGTGCATTGATGGCAAGCATGCCCACCTTACCTATCTCACAGGGTTATGAGTCTAAAGGAAATACATAAAGGAGTTCTTGAAACAAGATGGTAGCCATGCTGGAGGCGTTAGAATTTCAACAGGAAATTCTGCTCCAAACAATAACCACAATCCTAGGATCTACCTAAATTTACTGCATATATAAGATAGTACTTATAGCTTCCTAAATTATCTTGCTATACTTTTTGCTGGAGCACAGAAGTCAGTGGCTTTGCTGCCATGAATTTTTGCATGTGTGTTTTTCTTTTTCCTTTTTCTTTTTCAGGCTGGATTATTTTAAAGGTCATCATCTCATTGATAGGCATGAACAGAGTGGTATATTAAAATAGAAATCCTGTGGAGTTTTTTGTGTGTTTTGTGTTTTTTCCAACACTTCACAAAATTAGTAAAGTTAATTAGAATAGTAATATTAGTAATAGTATAGTAATATTAGTAATAGTAAGTATAGAATAATCAATATTTCCCCAATTCTATAAACAATAAAATGCAGGTATCAATTCTTTTGAGGGAACGTATTATACTATTCCTTTAAATGGTTCAGAAATAAATACGTTGCTTTAGAAATATCTTCACCAATGAAAAATCGATTTAATCAATTATAAAATGGCATTCTGGAATATCTTTGAGTCTGGAATGGTCTGGGCACTCATGCTGACTACCTTGTGGAAACACTCAATGTTGATCAAATTTTATGAATCTATGGTTTATGTTCCTGAGCTGGAAATCTTCAGATCTCTCAGAATCCTAATACTTTAGAAAGAATTCACATCACTCCCACCAACTCCAAATTGTCTATTTCATTCAGCTGAAAAGAAGTGAAACTCTAAGAGAGGAGAGAAAGGCCAGGACTTTCTGGAAGTAAATAGAAGAAGCTGAAGCTAACATGTGTCTCACTGTCATAAGGTCACCCTCTGGGCCGTTGTATACTCTGGATCCCTTTCAGACCTCATGGAAGCTAATTTTAGTTTTACAGAAAGGACAGAGAGAGGCAGACTGCTACCTTTACGGAAAATGTCAAGGTTAAGCTCGTGACCATCTTACCTTTCTGATTTCCTGTGCATTACCGGAGGGAAGGAAGCACGGTTTGTCCGGGGAGAATCCCTTCTCGCATCTGCTCGCCTGGGTTTCGGGGGGTGTGTTCGGGGCAGCCCCAGGGACAGCGGCTGTGAGCTTCCTCGACCCTCGGAGCGTCAGGGTCTGGTAGAAGAGACAGATTGCCACCACCAAGCCCACCAGGAAGGGCCGGGGACAAAGTCGCCGACGACAAGGGAACACCGGACGACAGACCATGACCAGTTCAGCTTCACTTGGCCCCTGTCCGCGTTGCCGGAAAAGTCATAGCAGCTATTTTTTGTCAGCATGAAAAATACAGATCAGCCTTCTTTATCCACAACTGAAATCAAGATTGCTCCATCCCCGCTGAAGAGCTTTCCGAAGGGTTCACGCCAAAGAATCATAGGTCCCAAAGTCTGAGGCGGTTAATAAGATCTCTTCCATGGATGACAGTGAAAAGTGGCTGGCCTGGGTTAAAAAAAAAAAAAAAAGACATCCAAATAATAATAGTTGTAACTAATAACCTGAGCGTACCCCAGGCTGCCAGACTGTTGCTTCCGGTAATGCCTTATTGCCACAACATCCTTAAACTCACAGCAAAGACTTCACAGGAAAAAAAGAAAACAACCGCAAAGTCGATCTGGAGCCTGGAAACAGCACTGAAGAGCGCAACAGGCTAAAACCAAAAGCGCCTGTTGCCCCGCGGGATGCAGGCCAGCTCGCCTCAGCGGTTCCTCATTTCTCCTCCGAGTTCTGAGCAGTCCTGCTCTCAGCCTTGCGTGTTTCTTCGCTGCTTCCCTTCCTCCAGTTTTAAATTGCCGCTGTCCCGTTAGCGTTCACGGCTTTTAGCATAAAAAGGGGATGCCCGGCGTGAATGGACATGGTGACTGTTCGGGTTCTGCTTGTACTGGTTTCATTCCGCGTCAAGTTCAACGTTCTATGCACTTACTCAGTTTTCATCCTTTTAGCCAGAAAAAAAAAGTTGTCACGATCCCCTGCCTAATGGACTGCTGGCCCAAAGCCCTCGGAAGGAAACAGCCAGTCGTGTGACTCCAACTCAGCTCCCCCGCGCGGCCGCCCGGCCGCAGGCACGCCGCCCCCCGCGCGCCGTGGCTCTCCCGGCCGGGAGCTGGGCCGGGACTGCGGCCGCACGCGCCGGCGGGGAGGGGCGGGGAGGGGCGGGGCGGGGCGGGGCGGGGCGGGGCCACGGCCGCGCGCGGCCCGCTCCCGCGCAGAGAAGTGGTGGGCTTCCCCAGCCTGGGAAGCGCGCCTCTCCCCGCCCTGGAAATGTGCCTGCCTCCCCGGAGCTGCAGAGTTTTAAATACACATTTGATCTTTGGCGCCTGGTGTCATCTCTTTTCCTTAATACTGCGGTGGAAAAACAAATAGCCCTTCGTCAGATGATGGCAAAGGTCAAGGATGAGAGGAAAGCGAACTCCGGGCGTGAATTGGAAGGATCTTTACTCGAGGGAAGTGTGGTCACCCTTATGGGGGATAAAAGGGTCCCAGGTATTGCCTGGACCGCAGAACTTGAAAGCCTGAGTATGTACCAGGATAACTGAAGTCATCTTTCTGCTTTGGTACCTAACTCCTATCACTTACTGCTCCTTTCCTGGGCTAATGGCTGAGTCTTTCAAAGGCTGGTTGCCTGATACTTTTTGCTCCTATAATAAGTGGATAGTAGCAGGTAATTTTGCTTTGCGGAAAGGGATAAAAAGATAAAGAGCAGGCTTTGTCCACAATTCAACTCAACCTAACGCTATACACACCGCCACAAGGACAATCCTGTAGGGCAATTCTGCAAACTCCATCTACTTTTGCTGAGTCAGCGGAGGGACAGCCAAGGAGAAACGCAATCTGTCCAGTGCCTATTGCTCACCTCTTTCCGCGCTTGCTTTGCCAACTCTGGATACCCAGGACTGGCTTATTATAATCATAGCAGACATTCTTCAAAAGCTCTGAACCTAAGTGGCTTTTCTAACGCAAACTCCTTCTTGTGGGCTGAGGTTCTTCTGTGAGCCCACACCCCTGAAATGATCCCTTCCGTCTGTCATGCTCGGGTCAGTCACTTATATTTTGTGAGACGGAGCGCCCCCTAGGGGTGCCCTGCTATTATAGATCCAGGGAAATGGGCATCTATGGTTCCTTACTTGAAAGAAACTACTTCATAAAACAGATTAATTAAAGCTTTACAGAATAAGTATTCACACTAAAGCTAGATTTACCCCAATTCTTGCATATATCCCCTCTGGTGTGTTTAATATTATTTGACCTATAGATTTAGAGTCCTCAATCCCATGACAAATGAAGAAGTATAAAAAAAAAATGAAGTGGCATTTGACTTTAAGAAGCCAAGAGAGCTTTAAGAGAAATGGCTGAACAATAATGTTGGAAGGTATAGTTTTAGTGGATGCAATGTGATTTGAGAGATACTAGGAATTATGAGATCTTTAAATTGCGAGTGTTCCTGAGTTGATGAGATTGAGTGAGATAAAGTTCTTTACTAGGAGAAAAGGAATGGACATGCATTTCTATTAAGGCAAAAAGTGTGAAAAACAGAGTTTGAGGAATCTGGAGGGTCATTTTTATATATCATTAAATTGTTGACATAGTGTCTTTGGGCTGGGAAACATGAAAGACAACAGCATAGATAATTTTATAGCTAGACCTAAGTAACAGGAATCAGAAAGAAAGTGGAAAATTAATGTTCTAGAAATGACACCGGTGGCTTGAAAAACCCAATTCCCTGTTCCAACCACTGAGTCTGAGGGTGTGGGAGAGGATGGCAATAGATAAATAAATAAATATTAGAGTTAACCCAGTCTGGGTAGTAGCATGATGCTGCGTCTTAACTGTCTTTTAAACAAGTGATCTGTGAAATGAGGATACTTATGCCTTCTTTGAAGTGTTGTTGGCATGCCAGATAATATAATGTATGGAAAACACCTAAGCATTCTGTGTACACGTGTTGGAAGAATGCATGCTGAATGCATGTCTGTTATGTTTTGGATGCTGAGGCCGAGCTCAGACTGGAGTGGTGTCAGACACACAAACAGATAACTATCAAATAATGGACCTCTTGGAACCCAGAAGCCCCCAAAGCAAACATGAGCACTTAGTATGTTCTCTTTCCTCTACTCTGTGATATGGAGGTTGGTGGCAGATGCTGGTTTGGGAAAATGAGAGCAAGAGTGGGATGAGCGTGAGCAGTAGGTGGAGACAACAAGTAGTGGGTATTCATGGCCCAGTTGTGATGGAAGGCTAAGTAGGAGCATGTGTTAGAGTCCGAAGGCGTCAGAACAGGGAACAATGAGAGAGAGTAAGCTGCTTCAGCGAGGGGAGTGGGAGGGTGACATGCTGTAAGACTACGCATCTATGGGTTCTGGCTGTGTTTCAGACTGTTTTTGTGCATGTAATTTCATAAAGTACCCCTTCTACTCGATCATTTCAGTATTCAAGGGTCTGTATTTAAGCAGCATCAACCTGGGACAATAGAGTGACAGACCTTTTAGAGTTCTATCATTTCAAGGGTGGACAAAACAGAACAATCTTCCCCCTCAAGCCTCCCCAACACAAAATATACTCTCCCATCACATGTATGTTCCATTTTGGGTTTTTGGTATGGAGTACGGGGTGAAAGGAGAGGGTGAATTTAGTGATTGTTGAAGCAGGTATTTTTAAAATGTATTTTATTTTTCAAACTGGACTCAAGTTTCTAGATGAATCAACAGTCCAGATAGACCAAATCCTGTAAACTAGATGCTTTTCATTTTAAATTGTCCACTAGACCAGCATTTCTGAGCATGCAGATCACCTGGAGATTCCATAGGACACTTGGTGGTGCCTTTTTTAAATGGGACATATGTCTCTAGCTCTCCATAATTCTCAACTGGTTGCTTTACTTATTTTTCACAATTTCCTTTCTGTATAAGCACTTGGAATTTGCTTGCACTAGAACCAAGATGACTTTTATCATATTCTTTACTGTATTCTAGTGACTAGTTTACTTGGGTCTTTTTATGGTATAAACTGCTTTGTAACAAACTATTTTACTCATCACCATATCCTTACAGCATCTAGTAGTGTCTCCTGGCAAGTGATTTAAAAATTCCTATTTGTGGAGGTTTATACATAATAGATTTAAATATTTTCCATACTATTTCCATTTTTCCCATGGGAAATATTTCACATCTTGGTAACATGAAACGCAGTAGGGGCAATGTTGTCCCCCGGAGACATGTGGCAAAGTCTAAAGACATTTTTAGTTGTCACAACTTGCAGGCCCAGCGGGATGCTCCTGGTATCTCGGATGTAGATGCCAGTGATGCTGCTGAACAGCCCTCGAGGCACAGGGCAGCCCTCCACAACCAAGCATCATCCGGTACGAAATGTCAAAGCACTGAGGTTGGAAAACTGAAATTTAATCAAAGAATAGTTACTGCGTAATTTTTATATGTGGCTGCCTGATTGTCGTTACTTAAGTTAGAATAGTGTGTACCTGTGCAGCTTGTGGTAATGACATTGGGATTTTAACCACTTCCTGAATGTGTCATTATACCACTCCTTCAAATAAATGCAACTTTACCCATATAATTCCCTTTGAGCCTCTCAGATTTGCTTTAAGATTTGCACCCTCTAAAATATATATGGAGATATATGTATACACACACACACACACACACATATATATCCATATTAATGTGCACATTCTAAAGGAAGGAAGGGGGGAAGGGAGGGAGGGAGGAAAGGAGGGGGAGGGAGGGAAGGAAAGGGAGAAAGAGAGAGAGAAAGAAAGAAAGAAAAAGAAAGAAAAGAAAGAAAGAAAGAGGGAGGGAGAGTGGGGGAGGGAGGGAGGAAGGGAAAGAAAAGAAAGAAAGAAAGAAAGAAAAGAAAGAAAGAAAAAGAAAGAAAGAAAGGAATCACTTCAATCAGTGAGCACAAGGTGGCTGGCAAACATTTAATACAATGAATTACACTATTTGTTTTACTTTTTTTAGGGCACAAATTTATACCTTGGCATGGAGCCAGAATTCCTGTTTTTATCTATCATTCTATAAAACATGAACAAATTTAGCTTTCATTTGTTATAACATAGTCTCAAATTATGTTCTTTAAATTAGAAATCTCATATCTTCTCTGTAAACCTGCAATAATATATTCCATGGAAACCATAATACATTCAAAAAATTGTTGCAAGATAGTCACATAATTTGGTTTCTTTTTTAATTTATTTTTATTTTTATTTTTTTTTAAAGATTTTATTTATTTGAGAGAGAGAATGAGAGAGAGAGAGCACATGAGAGGGGGGAGGGTCAGAGGGAGAAGCAGACTCCCTGCTGAGCAGGGAGCCCGATGCGGGACTCGATCCCAGGACTCCAGGATCATGACCTGAGCCGAAGGCAGTCGCTTAACCAACTGAGCCACCCAGGCGCCCTGGTTTCTTTTTTTAAATGTAATTACAATTCAATCATCCATTCTTATTTTCAGAAAGTGAAAGGTATTTTGAAATTTTTACAGCATCAAATTTACTACCTAAAAGACTGATGTTGTTTAATGGGGGATGGAAGGGAGGTAGGTTTCATCTTATCACTCCAAGGAAGGCTGGTAATCATTGAGCTAATCTGGGTAAAGACACATTCATTGATACAGTATGGCTCTTTGTGGTCACATATATACCACTTAAATTCAAAAGATTACTCCTGTATCTAAACCATATGATCTCTAATATATAAGCTTATTTTTGTTTGTTTGTTTTCAACAGGTAACTGGACTCTTCTTCAAATATTTATAAACGATAAGACTGGTAAAGTAAAAACATCTTTTGGCACATTTGCAAAACCCATTCAAGAAAACAGTCATTTGTCATAGTAAAGATAAATATGTAAGTGCTTCAACGATATGAACATAAATTTTTAAAAGTTCTAATGAGGAATAGTGGGGAGAGGTCATACCAAAACTTTCTGCTAGCTAGATATTATGATATTAGCAAAATTAGTAAAATATTAGCAAAATTCTAAACAACTAACTCATATTTATATTCAGGGTTATTCATAAATATTTCTGGCTGGCCTCCTGTATTACATTTAACCTAGGCAGCTTTTTAAAGTAACTTAGTACCTATTACAATTGTTCTTATTTTAATGTATTAGCATAGAGGGTCCC